AGTCTTATTTGTCATGGGGGAACTGTCCGTGTGAGCCACACGGTGGTTCGGGAGCTATTTTGAATTTTCGGCCCCGAAATGCCCTTTTTCGACTAAGTTTAGGGCGTATTTGGCTCTAACTCCCAACCTACGGGTCTGGATTATGGTCTATCAGTTGTCACAAGTCCTAGTTGTCATGGGGGAATTGTCTGTATGAGCCGCACGATGGTTTGGGGGTTGTTTTGAATTTTCGCCCCCGAAACGCCCTTTTTGACTAAGTTTAGGGCGTATTTGGCTCTAACTCCCAACCTACGGGTCTGAATTACGTTCTGTCATCTTTCACAAGTCCTATTTGTCATGGCAAAGCTATCCATGGGAGCCACATGGTCGTTTGGGGGCTATTTTGAATTTTCGCCCCTGAAACGCCTTTATTCGACTAAGTTTAGGGTGTATTCGGCTCTAACTCCCAACCTACGGGTCCAGATTATATTCCATCAGTTGTCACAAGTTTTATTTGTCATGGGGGAACTATCCGTGTGATCCACACGGTGGTTCGGGGGCTATTTTGAATTTTCGCCCCTGAAACGCCCTTTTTTGACCAAGTTTAGGGCGTATTTGGCTCTAACTCCCAACCTACGGGTCTTGATTACGGTCTGTCAGTTGTCACAAGTCCTAGTTGTCTTGGGGGAACTGTCTGTATGAGCCGCACGATGGTTCGGGGGCTGTTTTGAATTTTTGCCTCCGAAACGTCCTTTTTCGACTAAGTTTAGGGTGTATTCGGCTCTAACTCCCTACTTACAGGTCCGAATTACATTCCGTCAATTCTCACAAGTCTTATTTGTCATGGGGAAACTGTCCGTGTGAGTCACATGGTGATTCGGGAGCTGTTATGAATTTTCGCCCCCGAAACGCTCTTTTTCGACTAAGTTTAGGGCGTATTCGGCTCTAACTCCCTATCTACGGGTCCGAATTACATTCTGTCAGTTCTCACAAGTCCTATTTGTCATGGGGAACCTGTCCGTGTGAGTCACACGGTGGTTCGGGGGCTGTTTAGAATTTTTGCCCCTGAAACGCTATTTTTCGACTAAGTTTAGGGTGTATTTGGCTCTAACTCCTTATGTACGGGTCCGAATTACATGCCGTTAGTTCCCACAAGCCCTATTTATCGTGGAAAAACTGTCCATGTGAGTTACACAGTGGTTCGGGGGCTGTTTAGAATTTTTTTCTTTGGTCTGGTGCGTGCAAAGGAAGTGAAGCTAGATTCTACAAGTTAGATTCATCTTTTAATACTGTTATCCATGGTTCAACTGAAAATCTTTGTTATAGGAAAACAATTAAATATGATTCATTTTTTACCCAAATTACAATTTCTATTCATTCCCCATGAATTCCACAGACCAAACGAATCAAAACAAAAATATAAAATACTTTCACTACTAGTGTGGATGTATTTGCTTTGCTGTTACAAGTAATGGTCAATGCATCTCTTTTATAACCAAGCCACCAAGTTGGAGATCATTAGTTATGAGATTATTACCTTTCACCTGAATGCTCTATTTTATAACCACAAATAAATCATAAGAGTCTTTTATTTAAATAATGCAGGTCTCCATTTATTTCACAACTACAAGAGTCTTGCTATCCTCAAGTTATGAATATAGTTTTAACTTAATGTAGCAGAAACCTCAAAGCCACCACAGTAGCAAATAATGTGCATACCAAAAATCCACACATTATAGAAGCCATCAGAGAATTCAGTTTTGTGACCACAACGACTTATTATTTCTAACACTCATTTTGCAACATGTATAATCAAATCACAAGTAAAATTAACATGATCTATATAAACTCCACTTCAAATTAGCAAGGTTAAATTACAACTAATCAATATCAGTACATAAAAATACACTAATCATGTGGTGCTGAGAAATGAATTTCAAACAGTCAGCAACATAGTTACTGCTAAACTTCCCATCACATAGATAAACAAACTTACACCATACACCACACACCAAAATTAGATATAACAATTAGACACCAAAATGAATTATGGCTGGGTTTGAGGCACATAAAAGCAGAGTAAGGATGGCTATGGGAGAGGAATTGATTATATAATTCAGAATGGGGATATGTTGCAATTAACCCCATTGCATCCCATCCCATCCCAATTATGTATTTCACAAGAGGCCTCTCCAGCATAGATTGGTTATTGAAAGAATGGTAAGGCCTTCATGCCTCTATAAAAAATCTACTTTCATTATTTTTATAATTGAAAAAATAACAAATGACATTTACATATTATAAAATCAAATCAACACAATCGATGGTATTACATAATATGTGAAATAATTGAGGATCATTCCCTATGCATTGTAAAATTACATTTGAAATAGGGTACTAATTTTTTTTTTTTAAAAAAAACTTAAGGGATCATCCCATCTACATTGTAAAAATGCTCTTGAAATAGAGGGCCAATAAAAAAATGTTGGGTGTACAGCATTAGAGCAAAGTTTAAACCCCCATTGAAACAACGTTTAAACACTCATTACAAACAAAATATTTTCACAAAAGAGATAACAATACCATATTTATCTTTTCCTTTCCTCTATGATAACTTGGGCATAAAACCTACGATATTAAAGCTTTGAAGTCTGATGCATCTGTTCGAAGTAAAACAAATATAACTGATGTTACTACTAATCAACAAATCTGTCCAAAACTCTTAACTCTTGCAACCTCCACCTATGAAGATTTTTTTGGCTAAGAACATGGACATGAGGATTTTTTTTTCTGTTGATAAATCACATGTACATCAAGATATTAAAAAAATAGGAGAACTATTAATCCAATTTGGGCTGTTTGTTATGCTTTTCTATTGATAGTAGTATGCTCTGTTTCTGCTCTATCTAGGAGGTGGTAGTTTGTTTGTGTTGGCTGGCTTGGTGTAGAGGTTCTCCTCCATTGATTTCTGTTCTATACTCTGTTTGATTCTTTTCATCTTTTTCAATAAATTTTGTCATTCACCAAATAAACAAAAATAAAAGAATTAAAATGGAAAACCAAGTTATTGCACACAAATGGATAGATTCCACACTATGTCAACAAAATATCAAAAAAAAAAATTCTACCTCTTTCTACTCATGCTTCTAATTTTGTACGAGTACAAAGACAAATTCAGTTTCATAAAATGAATTTCTACACGGTTCTCATCTCAATAACTACATCCCTATAAATATCGAGCAAACAGTACATGACAACTTAGGAGGAAATAAGATCACGCAAATTTTGATAATAAATAGATAAGAATGATATAATAACCTCTTTGTGTATAGTGCGACCTTTGGTTCTGATTCTTTTTGAATTTTGTGTTTTAAATGTCTAAATAGGGTGAGGAAGATGCACCTTTTGGGATCTCCATTGAGCCTTCTGCAACCCCTTTCTCTAATCTCCATAGAAGATAATTTTTTTATTAGTTTCCTTGTCAGCCTCAACCAAAGGTGCTACAACAGACAAAAAAAACTTTCTTATGCTTCATCAACTACAGGTTTCTTAAGAAGATCCACAATGTGCTTGTAACTACTTATGCTATGTGCTAATTTAAACACACTCAAATCACAAAATCAACTTATGCTGATAAATCTCACGTATTGTATTGGATGGAAAAATCCCCCAGAATCCAAGACAATCAAATCTTGGATCCTTATGCCATTGCCATCAAAGACTATTTCCTTTTGAAGCTGACATGCCAGACTGATCAACAGCACCTCCCCAGCCAACAGAAGCAGCCTCTGGTTCTTCTGGTGATGAGGACTTCTCGGTTAGGTTTGTGCCATACCGTAGCCAACAAGAGAAAGCCTCTGCCATATTCTCAATATCAACCTTGGACCTCAACCTGTATCTGTAGCTCCAAAATAAACAAAAGTTGAATGTAAGATTTATCAACTATTTTGATCATTGAAAAGGAAAATAATCTTGATTCCTGAAGGTTTGGCAATACGAAATAACACCGATATAAAACAAATAAAGTAATACTAATTTGGGTCATATCCTAAGATCAAATGCCTAGGCAAGCTCAGTTGGCAGTCCCACTTGCCAGTCATACCATATTACATAAACGTGTATGCAATTACTATGAGGAGAAAAGAGACAAAAAAAAAAAAGTCCTTCAATGTGATGTTTTCATTGTACATCTCGCTCTAGCAGTCATTAGAAATTACAAGACAAGTTGCTATTTCTTTAATATTTGAGTTTTTGTGTAATGCTGCTCCCCTTCTTTATCCTCCTTGGCCTGAATAGATTCCTTGGGCTACGAATGCCAAATACTTGAGTAATCTACTCAGGAATCTCATAATCAATAAGTTTGACAAAGAAGGGCCTGTTAAACACTCTCATTAACAAGTTTTGCAAACCAAAGCAGCAAATCAAAATAAATTAGGCTCCATTTGGATATGTAGATTTAAAATGAATGGATTTGGTATTAATTCAACGTAATATTCTAGGTATGGATCTAAACTATAAATTTGAGAATTTTAGATTAATGAATTTGAAATAACTAATTGAACATAGTTATTTGAAATCCTTCCATAAATGATTATTCTCCGCATACAAAAATACTAGCAAAATGCATTTTTCCTATCTCTATGCATCCTTCACTTTAGAATTATCAATCTATGTCCACTAATCAATCTTCTTATAAATCTATAAAGCTGAATATCAAATCCCTTCATTTAAAATCCACACACTTATCAACATTCATTAATTTTGAGCACTAAAATTTGAGCATGTTCTAATTTCGTTTTAAGATTTTGTCAAACACATGGTGAACAAGAGGGTGGAAAACAACAACAATAAAAAGCATAGACCAAACAACAGCAACAAATAAACTACCAACAACAACAATAGTAACATCATCACACACAAACTAATTGATTAAAAGAAAATTAGAATTGAATGGGAGTACGATTAAGAATCATTATGTCGGACAATAGAAGAATGAATTGGATTTAATAGGGTGTGCTCCAATGGTTGAGAGAGAGAGGGAGGAAGGGGAAGAAGAAGGGGAAATACCAGGGTGTGCTCCAATGGTTGTTGCGATGGGAGAAATAGAGAGAAAAAACGCTGCCCTTGGGGAGATCGGTTGTACCGTCGCCAGTGAGGAGGTGGTCGTACCGTCACCGGTGAGGAGGTGGTCGTATCGTCGTCGGTGAGGAGGTGGGTGCTCGTATGCGACAGTGGTGGCCGGTAGGAGGGTCGCCTGCGATGGAGTGAGAGAGAGAGAGAGAAGATCGATGATGAGAGAGTGAAATAGGAGAGGGCTATGTAGGGTAATTAACAAAGGGAAAAATGCCGACTAAATTTTATTTTAGTGGCCAAAACGTTAACCAACAGTGACTAAATATTATTTTAGTCGCTAAAAGTAATAATTTAGCGACTAAACATTTTAGTCGGTAATTAATTTCATAAATCCCGCCAAAAATCGAAATTTTCCCTCCAAATATTTTAACTCTTTGGCGACCAAACTTTTGGTCGCCAACAGGCCGAAAGTAAATTTTTTATTTTTCATTCGGCGACTAAAAAATTTTAGTAGCCAAAACTATCTATACAGTGACTAAAACATTTTTTAGTTGCTAATTGTGGCCTTTTTACTGACTAAATTTTTTTTTAGTCGCCAATAATCAATATTTCCCGACTAAAAAAATTAGTAGCTAAATATTGTACATTTGCCAACTAAAAAAAATTTTGGTCGCCAATTCGACATGTTTAGGCGACTAAATTTTTTTTAGTCGCCAAATTTAGTCGCCAAAAGTGTATTTTGTTGTAGTGAAAGAATAACATAATAACATGTAAACCTGAAAAGAAAAAATAATGAAAACATCCAAACAATAGATACATCTCAGTATGTAAAGTGATTAATCATCTGTAATATGATGTCAGAACATAAAAGAACTTACTGTTCAACAATTAAAAAAGTAACTCAAGTAATAAATCCAAACTTTAGAAGTTCTTCGAGAGTATAATTGTTGTGCAGGTTTTCCTCGTGTAAGTTGTGATTATATAAAATAATGTAGTAAATGATGTATAATTTCATATATAGAATCACTATAAAATTTAAACGACAAATCTGTAATATAGAATTAGTATTAGATATAGAATAATACACGGGAAAATAAGAAGGGAAAAAAAAAGAAGAATACAATTTAGCATTAAAAAAATCTTAATAACTTTGAAAGAATTAAGAAGAAAAACGTGAAACGCAAAATTGGTATTGAATTTGTGAATTATCTCATTTGATCATGAAGAATATATAGAAAATAAATATTTTTTAAATAGAGTCCATATAAAATAGGTAAAATTAGTATAATTTAAATTATGTTTGGGTGTGTGCAGAACTATATGTAATTAAGAAAATAAATGTTGGTATGGCTCTCTTAGAAAAAAGTAAACCCTTATAATGTGTCGCCTAAATATGAAAAAAATACTACTTTTAATCTATATATATATATATATACGATGAAGTGTTGTATTTGACCCATTTTCTCGTAGTGATATTTATTAAATTTTATTAAATAATAAATATAATAAAATTTATAAATAAAATAAAATAAAAAAGCTACGATAACAAACGGAGCGTAAATTAGGATCCAAAGACCCGCACAATTGACCCATTAGTGGTGATGGTCAATAGCAAAAGAAGGTGGGTCCGGGGAGGCAGTAGTCTTCGTCCACCATCAACATTAATTTCCATCCTATTGACTTAGCGCATCCACAATGGATATGTTAAAATTATGTGTTAAAGTGTGTTATATGACAAAAAGTATTAAAAATGGGATTTAAAAATATGTGTTAAGAGTTTGTTAATTTAGTGAGTAAATAGTGAATGAATGGTGGTACAATGGATGTACTAAGGGGTGTGTTAGGGTGTGTGTTAAATATATATATATGTATATAATAAATAAAATAAATAAATAATGTAGTTTAATCAAAAATTTTAAGCCCAAAATTAAATTTCAAGTCTAAAAAATTATAATAATAAAAAAAAAATTTGCCGTTGACCGGTCAACCGGCCGAACGTCTGGCCGGTCAACCGGTATGACCAAAAAACAAATTAACAACTCTCTCCTTCGCTGGCTAGAAGCCTCGCTGCAGTTAACAAATAAATTAACAACTGACACTAATAACTGACACTAACGCATCCCTTAACAGCTCCATTGGAGCATCATTTGAGTCATTCAGTAGCTAAAATATTAGCAACTGACACTAAAACGTCCCTTAACAGCTCCATTGTGGATGCACTTATTGTGAACTTCACCCAAGCCTTTCAGTGTCTCGTTTTCAACTACCAACATGATGAGGGTCCAGTTTTGGGTAATTGAGGCCTAGATGGGGTTTATTTTAGTCATTTGAATTATTTATTTTTTAGTGTCTTTTAATAAATAACTCGTATAAAAATTTAAGTTGATTGGATATTGTTATGTACTAGTATTTAATCCGTGTGATGTTTGGGCTAAATATATTTGTTTTCAATTTTTAAAAAAAATAAAATTTAGTTAAATTATTTATATTTTTTAATATATAAAATATTTAAAATAATCATTAAATTGGAAAAAAGAAGAAACAATAATTTAAAATTTAAATAATGATTTTAATTATTTATTTTAATAATTTTTATTGTATCGTTCCATAAAAGTGTTACTTAAATCAACACATATACTAATTTTAAATAAATTATTTATGTGTATTTTAATAATTTTAGCTCTATCATATTATAAAAATGTAACTTACATAAATATATGTAATAAATTTTATAAAAATAAATATTTTTAATATTTAATTTTTAAAAAAAGTGAAAAAAGTATAATAAAATTAGGAGCGCTTTTTCATAAATCCCTTTTCACATACTTATGTTCCATTTAGTTTACATTATTTTTTTATATTTCAATAAGTCCTATGAGTGACACAGTTATCAAAATACCCCTAATAATATTCACATTTACAGTGTGAATGTTCCGTGATGTGAATATTCACACCGTCAATGTGAATATTCACATTATAAAATATGAATGTTCACATCACTAAATTGCTAACCATTCAAAAAATATTTGTAAGGATAGAAATGTCCATAAAGTACTTTAAATATGAGAATTAGGATTTGGTAGATCAAATGTTCAAATAATAGGACTTATTGGAATAGAAGAATATCTTATGGACTAATTGGGATACAAACACTTGAAAAATGATTTTCTAATAAATATCCCATAAAATTAATTGATAAAATATTTTTAGAATGCATAATGCTATTAAGTTTTGTTTATGAGTAATTTAAATTAAGTAGAAGTCTTTTAAATATTAAATTTTAGAAAGAATTTTGGAAAGGGTATATTGATCTAGAATTTTAATTAAAAAAAAAAAGAAGAGAGATGTGCTACATAGGAGAGAGAAAAAAAAGTTTAAGGTAAATAGTATTTTTTATTTATTTATTTTGATAATCTTAGACCTATCATTTTATAAAAAATCTTATTTAAATCAACAGATATAATAATTTTAAGAAAAATTATTTATGTATATTTTAATAATATTAGCTCTATCGTACTATAAAATATAAATTAAATAAATATATATAATAATTTTAAATTATATTAAATTATAACACAAAAAAAGAAATATTGATTTGATAATTTGAACCTTTCGCGCTACAAAAATGTAACTTAAATAAAGATATATAATAAATTTATATGATATTAAATTATAACTTGATATTAGAAATAATTATTATAAGATTAAAAGTGATTCTAATTATTTAAAAAAATTCAATATAAGTAATATTATAAATAAGATAGACATAAAAATAAGAAATAATTTTAATATTTTATTTTAAAAAATGAAAAAAGTATAATAAAATTAATCAGTAAAGTATTTTTAGTATGTATAGGTTTTGTTTATAGGTAATTTATGTTAGGTTTTTATTGGCAATCCCGTTTGACAAAACTCCTTTAAGTTGTATTTGTTTTCGCACTTTTTATTTCAGTGAGGCTATGAGTTTTTAGCTGCGAATCCAACCCGAATTGTGCCTTGCAGAGAAGTTAGTTTTGTGATGTTAATTCTTTCGTGATTGTCACTTCGCTGATTATGACGGGGATTGAGCTGCCCGGTCAGCTCGCGGGGTCGAGGGGCAGCGCCCCCGAAGCAAAATGCAAAAATGCATTCAAAGTTGCCTCCCCGCTCGAGCGTCCATTTCCCCGCTCGAGCGGAGAATGCTGGGTTCCAGAAGTTTGGTGAGTCTGCAAAAATACTGTGATCCATGTTTTCACGCTCGAGCGTCGAAATCCTCGCTCGAGCGTGCATCCTGGTTTGGAACACGTCATATAGTGTCCCCGCTTGAGCGTCAATTCCTACGCTCGAGCGGACCTCGCGATTTTAGATTCTATAAATTCGCAAGTTGCTCCAAATCTAGGATTACGCCTCCAGATCTTCTTCTTAGGTTCTAAGGTTTATATCTGGGGATATTTTGCTAGTTTTCTTTGATGTTTTGATTGAGTATTCAACTCTTGGTTTAAGAAGTTTACATCAAAGGATTGTTTGTTTAATTCTATACAAAAGAGAGAGTTGTTCTTCGGTGGATTCTGAAGAATTTGAGCCTGAAGCTTTGGTGGATTCTGGAGTGGCTCATCGTCAAGACAATTCCGAGGTGAAGACGGGACTAGAAGAGGCACATAGAGGTTGGTTCAATTCGGGCGTGGATTTGCTAGGTAATTGAGAGTATACCTGTGTAATTCTTTTATATCTTCTTAGTGGATTGTTTTGTGGCTGTTGCCCATGGTTTTTTATCACAATTGGAGGTGCTCCAATTGTGGTTTTTCCACGTAAAATCGGTGTGTCGATTTGTCTTGATTGTTTGATTGGGTTTGTTATTTATTGCTTAAAATTGATACATAATCACAAATCAATATCTAGGGGATTTCTAGATTTTTCAGATTAACTAGAAATTTTTTAAATATTAAACTTTAGAAGGAATTTTGGTAAAAGGATATATTGATGTGGTGTTTTAATAAAAAAAAGAAAAAAGAGAGATGTGTCACATGAGAGAGAGAAAAATTGAGAGCAAACATTACTTTTAATAATATATATATATATGTGTGATGATATGTTTGGATTTTATATGTTTTAAGAAAAAATGAACAATCTGTTTTTAAAAATATATTTACTTGTTCATTTTTTTTTAATGACAAAATCCAACGTGTTATTGTTGATATTTGATTAATTTAATTTTTTAGATGAATAATTTACTTAAATTGCATTAAAATTGAACCATTCAAATAATGTAAATAGACTCCATGTGGGCCTCAATTGTCCTAAATTAGACCCTCTAGTCCAATAGGAAGGCTAGAGAGAAACCATTTTTTTAATGATTCATGAAGCAGCAGAAAATATCACACACTAGATACCGTTCTAACCGATGAATAACACTAGAATTCACAAGGAAGGAAGAACGAATTCTCAAAGAAACTTATATTGATCAAAAGTTCCCTTATCCTAAGACCTACATCATCATTTATAATAAACTACACCATAACTAAATAAAAAAATAACTAATTAGACTAACTATTTATAACAGAGGGAAAATAAAAAGACCATAAAGAGATTAAAAAAAAAAAGACCATAAACAGATTAAAAAAAATAAAATAATAAGTCTTAAAGACATTAAAGTCTCTCAATTAGCATTGACAGATAACCAACTAGGCCTAGCCTAGTTGGCCACCATGCATTCCTTAGGGTTTAGTCCCAAGGAGGTCATGGGTTCAATTACCCTTAGGGGAGTTGAATTAAGGGAGTGCAAGCACTTAGGTGCTTTGTCAAGGGTGGAGAGATTTTCTCCCATAGGTGCTAATCTAATAACTAACAACTAACATTAGCCGATCAAAAAAAAATAAAAAATAAAAAAATAAACATATGAAGACATTTTAGAGCATTCTAATGTAAAGCTGTACGTTATTTATAAGATAAATTACATTTTGCATCCCTTGCACTTTACATCAAATTTTACTTTGGTCCCTACATATGAAGTTATGACAGTCAATCTCCTACACTTTTGGTCAAATCCTACTTTGATCTCTACACATGAAATTGTGACAGTCAATCCCCTGCACTTTTACTCAAATCCCACTTTGGTCCCTCCATAAGTGTCAATGTCTCTCTTATGTTATTTCATTTTTAACAATTTCCAGTCATGTGACGAAAATATGACTACAAAATGAGGGTAAGAAAGGAAAATCATTCGTGTTTCCCACCAATACACTTTGTCCTATGTGATAAGCACATGAGAGTTATGTAATAAAATGCGCGCGTGTGTGTATAATAAAAATTGCAATGAAAAGGTAAGAAAGTAGAGCTTTTGAAATAATAAAAAAATGCGATAAAGAAATCAAAGAGAAAGAAAAATTAATAGACAGAAGACTGTGTTACTTTAAAAAATAGAGTTTCGTGATTCCAATTTATGCAAAACCCTAGTTCATCTTCTAAATTGTTCACAATATCCGTTTTGTTTTAGCCTAATAAGATCATATTTTGATGTAAATTTTGGGATAAAGTGTTTATTGATGGAAAATGTATATGATATTTCTTTCTTACCATCATGTCGTAGTCACATTCTTATCACATGCTTAGATTCTGTTAAAGATTTAAATAATCGAGTAACAAAAATGGGACATTGACATATGTGTAGGGATTAAAGTGATATTTTACCAAAAATATAGGGGATTGACTGTCACAATTTCATGTGCAAGGACCAAAGTGAGATTTGACCAGAAGTGTAGGGAGTTAACTGTCATGATTTCATGTGTAAGAATTAAAGTGAGATTTGGTGCAAAGTACAATTTGCCCCTATTTATATTATATAAGATATATGGTATATGGTATATGATATATAATGTTAGCTTCTAAAATATTATTTTTAAATTTATTTAAAGTGATAATAGATTGAGTATTAATTAGTTGATTCCTAAACAAATCAATGATATAGACATGCAACAGTTGAAATTATTGGAGGCTTTTTACGCATTTTTAAACAATAATGAATAATTTTACAACGATAATTGAGCCATGTATCCAAAAAAAATCCAATTCTTGAAATTTTTTCCATGGTATGAGAAACTGAAGGGTGATAGATTGTTGAGATTTTGAGAAAATTTCATTTTACCTCCCAAATTATATTTTAATGATTAATTTAATCCATGTACTTATAATTTCAATTTTATACCTAAACTATTTGATTGTGGATCAATTTTACCCTGCAGTTAGCTACCATTTATAATCAAACAGAAATTGCTGACATGACATCGAAATTTTGTTTGAAATTTCATCTTGCCCCCAAACTAACCAAATCAAACAATGCCTTAAGTTCCATCAAATGGGGTCGGCTACATGAATCCTTCTTCTCAAAAAAATTAATTAGACCCTCACCCCAAACTTCATATTGTTTAGGGGTCTAATTGATATTTTGGAGATAGTTTGAGAGGTCAAATGAAATCTCAAATGAAGATGGCAGCAAGTGCCTTCTAATTACAGACCGTAGCTAACGGCAGAAGTGAAATTGATCCAAAATTGAATAGTTTAGGTGTAAAATTAAAATTATAAAAAGTACAGGGGTTAAATTGGTCATCGATGTATAGTTTGAGAGGCAAAATAAAATTTCCATTTTTTAATTAACATGTAAGTTTTAAATCCTTCGGTCTGCCTAAATAAATGGAAAAACTGATTTGGTTAGATGAATTGAATCAAGTACTACATTATTTATGTTTGATTTGAAAACTTAACGGGATTTAAAATATATTTAAATTTAACTGGTTTAGGTTTCAAATCAATTTCAAATGAACTTTAATCAAGTTAATCACGAGTAGCATGCTTTTTTATAGATCATATAACCAAGTTGAGTCGAGTAGCATGTTGTTTAAGTTTGATTTAAAAACTTTTAAAATAGAATTGAGCTTCTCTCTAGTCCACGTCTGGATTGGACTATGTTGGCTGAGTCCATGGGGCTTACAACGGGTTTTGTTTTAATTATTCGAACTGTTCATGTTATAGGTCCCTTCATGTATATTGTTTATCAAAAAAATTAGATTAATTTGATAATTGTAGCATCTCCATTTTATTGTATTTGTTTCCAAAAAAAAAAGAAAAAATGGACGACAAATGTATTTTTGAAAACAAATCTTTTTTTTTTGTTAGATAAACGCAATAAAATAATGAGGTTACGATAATCGTATTGATTTTATATATTTCATGAATACGAAAAAATATCTTACAAAATTAAAATTTTGAATTTTCGGAACAGAATTCATAGTCAACAATAACTTCCAATCTAAATTGCGCACTGGAGAAAGCCAGTCCTTTAAAATATGTTCAAATTGATTGCTTTTCAATGTTGCAACCGACCCGATGATGATACCTAGCAATTATTTCTTAGAAGAGAGGGACGCAGTGGACTTTCTGGGTCAGCACCATCAACATTTATTTCCATGATATTGCCGTCTTGCAACCTTCACCCCCAAGTCTTTCAGTGTATCTGTCTGAACAAAATTTTTTCTTTTAACGGTTCACATTTTAAGTTGAACTTAAATATATATATATATATATATATATTTAAAAAAAAACATTGGTTGGATTGCTGTAGGAAATTTCATATTATAATATTGTATACTACCTTGATAAAAATAATTGATCCATCATTTAAAAAAAAACATGTCAAAGTGGCTTACTGTGCTCTGCACTGCCCTTGTGTGGTGTTGCTATTTCTGCAGTATCCCTGCTGCCACTTCTATGGCAAATAATGTGACAGATAGAGTTGCATTGGTGGAATTCGGCTGCAATTGTTCAAGACCCATTTGGTGCCCTCTCTTCCTGGAATCATTCACTCCACTACTGCCATTGGAACGACATTTTGTGTAGTCATTGCCAACATCCTGATAGAGTCATTGGGATAACTCTAATGTCCCAAGGCCTGGTTGGATTGCTTTCACCTCATGTAGGAAACCTCTCCTTCCTCAAAAGTATCGTTCTTCCAAACAATAGTTTCCACGGCCCAATCCCACAGGAGATTGGTCGCTTGTTTCGACTACAAACAATAGAATTAAGCAACAATTCGTTCGGAAGTGGAATACCAAACAACCTTTCTCATTGCTCAAAACTTGAATATCGGGACTTCGTCAACAACAATCTAACTGGAAACATCCCAGCTGAGTTGGGCTCTTTGTCAAGGCTTCGAACTTTAGCCTTGAATATAAACAAGCTTTCACGTACCATCCCTCCTTCCATTGGAAACCTCTCATCTCTTTCCTATCTCAATTTATCATAATGTAATTTGCATGGGGAGATTCATGGGGAAATTGCTAGGTTCCATCTGGCCTTTACAAGATCTCCTCCATCATTGCATTATCAGTAGCCATTAACCATCTTGAAGGAAATATTCCTCATGATATAGGATCCACACTTCCTAATCTCAAGTTTGTTTATTTTTCGAAAAATTTGTTTACTGGAACACTTCCTACTTCACTGTCAGACGCTTCAAAACTTGAAGATATATACTTCTCTGAAAATGATTTCAGCGGGACAATGGCGAGAGATCTTTGAAAACATCTGGGTCATCAATGGATAGGTGTTTTTAAAAATCAGTTGCAGGATGACCTCACTTTTATTTCGTCTCTAACAAATTGCACCAGTTTACAATTGATTGATGTGGGTAACAATCTTTTTAGAGGTTCATTGCCTGACTCCATAGCTAATCTCTTCACATATCTTAGCTGGATAGATTTGAGGTTTAATCAAATACATGGAAGCATTCCTTCAGGCATTGGGAACCTCCTCAACCTCACTCAGTTATCTATGGCAGTGAACAATCTTGTCGGCCCTATTCCATCATCTATCGACAGACTTCATAAGCTGTGTACTCTGTTCTTAGAGCAGAACAAGTTCACAGAACTTCCATCTTCGATTGGTAATTTGACTTCGTTGATTACTCTCAACTTGGGAGAAAACGACATCCATGGAAGCATACCTCCGAGTTTGGGCAATTGTCATAACTTGTTGGAATTACACCTTTACAACAATAATCTCAATGGTTCAATACCCCCTGAAATTATGAGTCTCTCGTCCATTTCAAAATTCCGCTGGTTAGGTCACAATGCACTAACTGGTTCCCTACCATCAGAAGTTGGGTATTTGAAAAATTTTGCAAACATGAATGTGTCTTATAATAAATTATCAGGACCCATACCAAACACTCTAAGCAATTGTTTTAGTCTGGAATGGCTTCACTTGGAGGCTAATTCATTTGAGGGAGAGATACCTCAAAGCTTGAAACTGATGAGGGGCTTAAGAGTATTGGATCTTTCGCACAACAATTTGTCGGGGCTGATCCCAAGTTATCTAGGTTAGTTTCAACTAGATATGTTGAATTTGTCTTTTAATAAACTACACGGACAAGTTCCCATACAAGGAGTGTTTGGAAATTCAGGTGCAATTTCAATTGTTGGAAATAATGATCTATGTGGAGGTATTGCAAAATTAGACCTTCCTCCTTGTTCATCCTCCTACTCAAGCAAGAATAAGCTCTCTCATAGGACAAAAGTGATCCTAGTGGTGGTTGGTGTTGTGATATTTTTATCTTTGTTAGTTAGCTTCTTTATATTTCTTCAACTGTATCATGTTTCAAAAAAGGTGGCTTCTTCCACACCATCAATCATGCATCAATTTTTGAGGGTTTCTTATGCAAATCTTCTCAAAGCCACCAATGGATTCTCAAAGGCTAATCCAATTGGTGTTGGGAGCCATGCTTTAGTTTACAAAGGGATTCTTGATCAAGATCAGATGGTTGTGGCAGTGAAAGTGCTCAATCTTCAGACTGGAGGAGCCTCTAGGAGCTTCATGATAGAATGCAAAGCACTAAGAGCTATAAAGCACCGAAATCTATTAAAAATTTAAGTGTTTGTTCTAGTGTGGATTTCCATGGTAATGAATTCAAAGCTTTGGTGTATGAATTTATGGCCAATGGAAACTTATGCAAATGCTTACATCAAGTTGGAGTGGGAGACCACAGACAGCTAGAAGAACCCAGAAATTTTAAACTACTCAAGAGACTGGACATTTCGGTTGATGTCACTTCTGCACTTGAGTGCCTTCATTGTGGTTGTGAGTCGACAATTATTCATGGTCATTTGAAACCAAGTAATGTTCTTTTGGATGATGGGATGACGGCTCATATTGGAGATTTCGGGTTAGCAAAAATTATTTCTACCATTTCAAGTGATGTGGCTCAAGGTCAAAGCAATTCAAATGCAATAAGGGGAACCATCGGCTATGTTGCTCCAAGTACAAAATCTTTTCTATTGCCTTGGAGTAGAAAAACTGAACTTGCAATAGGAAAAGTAATTGAGAGGGAAATTTATGTCTAAATAAGGCCGAGCTAAGGCCATCCATTGCATGGACCGAGCTAGGTTCATTCTTGGCCATTAGGCCGTGCTGCGAGCGAAAATAAGAGTGGACTGAGCTTGGTCGTGGACTGGGTGGGTATTTAACCCAAGGCTTAAACCAAGGTGGTTATATCAAAACAGGACCGGGGTGCGATGGTGCGGGCTTCTCGAAGTGGCTATCTCGATCAAGGATTGCTCTAGTTCTATCTGGTGTGAGGCAAGGCCTTACTAGCTTAGTTGAGCTGCTGCCGAACCTAGGTAAAGGGACTTGTGCCATCTCACTTGGCTTGCAGTGAAGAGGGTGTTAAAAGATGGGCATTATCTTTTAGGAATGTGATTCCTAGGAGGACTCTACATTGGAGAATTAGAGTCCTATTAGGATTGTGGCAGTTGGAATCAATAAAAGCTCATGACAGAACTTATGTAGAGGTATCACAATTTTTACTCTAGAATACACAGAGCTGTTTTATCTATTATCTATTTGCTGACTTAGGCATCGGAGAGGTTTCCGGTACACACCCGTCGGCTAGCTTACGTTTGTGTTTTCACGTAGTAAAGCGACGACGTTTGGAGGAGTGCAAACTTGATCAACAGGATTATACGAGAAAATTATTTTGTGCTCGTATAATTGGCACCGTTTGTGGGAAGTACAATCACAAAGAACAAACCTCTTGATTAAGTTTTCCTTCAAACTGATTTCAATGGCGCACAATGAAGATTTGCCGCAATCCGCTATTGATGGGCGAACCCCGGAGGGGAGCGGGAGACGCAAAGGCTTACCTTTTATCCCACCTATGGCAGAGTTAGACACCCAGCGATGGAACCCTCGGAGGGATACATGGGAGAGACGGGGCTCAATTCCTTGTCGCTCCGAAAGTCTTGAAAGGCAGCGGCGAAGGTTGGATCCTTAGGTTCTGGAGGATCGTGTGAGCGAGCAAGACGAATTGATAAGGAGGATGGCGGCAGACATGGAGACTATGAAGCGCCAAATAAAGGGCAAAGGGGCGGCGGAAGAAGAGGTGGGCAAGAGCAGGGCGCACCCTCGCCACTTAGAAGATCGTGACAGGCAAGTCACACCATCTCAGACGGAAAGCAGAAGCCTAAGGATAGGCGATACACAATCACGAACCTCTAGGACTCGTTACTCCAGGTCTGAGAGAACGAGGACTGAGAGGTCGTATACGGAGGGAATCAGTTATCGGCCCTCGCACACGCACCAAACGACATCTAGGCACACGGAGTTGCCTAGGTCGACAGACCTGCGAACAATGCTAGAGGAAAGGGCCTGATGGAAGGAGGACACCCAGGCTCGCGACTCTCGTAGAGTTTCAACTCTACAACGATTGGCTCCTAGGACACATGGGAGTGTCGAGGTAGGGATGCCAATACCGCGCCTTGCTTATGAACTAGCAGATAAAGTTTTAGCAACGTTGCAGAGCTCACCGTTCATTCCGGTAATTAAGAACGCACCGTTACCCTCAGGCTTGCACTAGTCCAAATTCACTACTTATGAGGGGAAGTCAGACCTCTACATGCACTTAACCCACTTTCGCCAGGTTATGGCTGTGTATCGACAAAACGAGGCCCTAATGTGTATCTTGTTTCCTTCCATCCTTGGTGACCTGGGCCTAACATGGTTTGAAAGGTTACCAGAAGGTAGCATAGCTTTATAGGCGCAGTTGGTAGAGGCATTTGTGACCAGATTCAGAACAAACACCAAGACACCAGTGGAGATTGACTAGCTACTCTCCATTGACATGGGCGAGAAGGAAACGTTAAAGTCTTACAATAATCGATATTGGGAGACTTTCAATTAGATTGGGGATTGTTCCACAAACCTTACCATCGCACAGTATAAACGGGGTTTACCAGTAAGTAACAAGTTGAGGGATTCAATGATGATGATACCACCCCTCACGATGGAGATGATGCCACCCCTCACGATGGAGGCCCTAATGGAGAGAGTATATTAGCACATCCAGGTAGAAGAAGATAGCGCCTGTGCTAAAGCATAATCTGGCACAACAACGATGCCGGATAAAAAGACTACAACAAAAGTCAACACGGTTGAACAACCAAGCAAAAATGGGCGTGGCAGACGAGCCAACAGGGAGGACCCCCAAGCAAGGAAGTTGAGAGTCTGAACTGCCATCACCAAGGTATTTAATAAACCTATTTACCGGATTCTTAGCGAGATACGCGGTGAACCCTTCGTTCGGTGGCTAGCCAAGTTGGGAGAAACGCAGAGGGGCTACGATGAGAGGTACCATTGCACTTTCCATGATGAAAAGGGGCACTGAACTGAAAACTGTACGCCATTATGGCAACATCTGGAGGAGCTAGTGGCCGCATGCCACCTGGACCAATATATTGAAGGGGGAACACAGCCAGCCCCCCAGGACCGCAATAGGCCGGATGGGATGCCGGTCGACGGTCTGCCCCAAGGCGTAATCAATGTAATACATGAGATCGTCAAACCTGAACGGGTATGTGAACTCAGAGGGATGATCAAAAAGGCTGAGCACATAAGAGAGGTACTATGTGCACAACCTATCGTCAAAAGGGGAAAAACGGAGGCAACAAATGTCATCTCCTTTTCCTGACAAGGACTTAGCGAGGTTACAATGCCCTCACAATGACGCACTGGTGGTTACTTTACGTGTCAAGAACTTCGACATCAAGCGGATCCTTAGTTACGAAGGGAGCTCCTTCGAGATAATGTACTACGAGACCTTCAAGAAACTAAAATTGGAGGACAGAGACTTGGCACCCGCAACATCTCCCTTAGTCGACTTTAACTCAATGCCAAAATGGCTGGTGGGCAAGATAATTCTGCCGGTCAAGGTAGGAACGATGACGAAACAAGTGGAATTTTGGGTATTGAAAGTCCCTTCTACTTACAACATAATCTTGGGAAGAGCATGGTTGCACGCCATGCAATCAGTGGCATCAACCTACCATCAGGTGTTACGGCTCTCCAACAAAACTGGGCTGATTGAAGAAGTCTTAGGGGACCAAATCATGTCAAAATAGTGCTTCGTCACAGTAAACGGTAGCCGGGCTGCAAATGGGTTTGTACAAATGGTAGAAGAGCCAGAAAGCAACAAGCTATTTGCAGATGTTGGCAAAGCAGCCGAACAGAAGGCAATAGAAGACTTGGTAGAGGTAAGAATAGATGAAAAGAACCCAGAAAAGTTATTTTTGCTTGGCTTGTCTTTGTCCAGCGCTGAGAGAATAGAGATCATGGAATTTTTGACCTCAAACATCGAAGTGTTCGCCTGGACGCCGTATGACATGCCTGGCATTAACCCTAATTTCATTTGCCATCACTTAATGTCCATCCAACTGCCAGGCCAGTTATGCAGCGAACTCGCCGATCGACACTCCACCACGTAGAGATAGTGGCGGAGGAAGTGGGAAACTTGCTAGAGGTAGGAGTAATCAGAGAAGTACACTATCCCAGGTGGATTTCCAACACTGTAGTGGTACCAAAAAAGAACGGCAAATGGCGCGTTTGCATGAACTACAAAATAGTCAACAAAGCATGCCCAAAGGACAGCTTCCCCCTACCACAAATAGACCAACTGGTGAACCTAACAGCAAAGCATAACCGACTTAGCTTTCTTGATGCATATCGCGGTTATCATTAGATCGCTATGTATGAATCGGATCAAGAGGTCACATCATTTACAACACCCAGAGGACTATACTGTTACAAGGTCATGCCCTTTGGCCTAAAGAACGCAGGGGCTACATTCCAACAGATGATCACCAAAATATTTGAACCATTGTTAGGGCAGAACAATGGAGGCTTACATAGATGACATGGTGGTCAAAAGTAGAGATGAGAAGGACCATCTCAGGGACCTAGATGAAATGTTTCAAATTTTGAAGTCCCATAAGTTGCGTTTGAATGCATCTAAGTGCGCACTCGATGTAGGGTCAGGAAAATTCTTGGGCTTTCTAGTGACCAACTGGAGTATAGAAGCTAATCCCTCTCAGATCAAAGCCATCCAAGATCTCGAGAGGCCCAAAACGGTCAAAGAGGTGAAGTATCTCACTGGCCTAGCAGCTGCGCTCAACCGGTTCATAAGTCGATCGTTAGACAGGTGTTGACCATTCTTCCAGGCATTGAAGGCCAAGTTTGAATGGGATGATGAGTGCGACCGTGCCCCGGAAAGCTTAAAAGACTACATGACCTCTCCTCCGTTGTTAGTAACCCTAGTACCAGGAGAAGAGTTCTTTTGTACTTAGCAGTTTCCTAGCATACAGTTGTAGACACCCCATTTTTGACCGACCTTAAGAGTCGGACATCATTGATTGAGCACTCGGTGATTGTGCATGTTGTGCTCGTTTCGAGGTTTCGGGGTTCTTGGCTGAGAGCCTCACCTCCAGACCTCGGGACTCTTTGTACTTTGACTCGGTCTGTGGACTAAGTCTTGTTTTCTCTTCCCAGAGGGAGGGAGAGGTCTTGTAGACCATCTCTCAGTGGTCGTAGACTACTTTTCGTGGTCGTAGGCCACTGTTCCCGTTTGGAGACTAGTTTTCGATTTTCGGAGCTGTCGGCCGTGCACCTCAGCTTGGGACCGCATAACATTCTCCGTTTGGCACGGTTTTTGGAACACACCTTGTTTCCTCTGTCTAAAGGGAGGACTAAGTCTTGTTTTCTCTTCCCAGAGGGAGGGAGAGGTCTTGTAGACCATCTCTCAGTGGTCGTAGACTACTTTTCGTGGTCGTAGGCCACTGTTCCCGTTTGGAGACTAGTTTTCGATTTTCGGAGCCGTCGGCCGTGCACCTCAGCTTGGGACCGCATAACATTCTCCGTTTGGCACG